AGGAAAGGAAAAGGAAAGGAAAAGGAAAGTTACATATGTATTGTTTACATTATATTTAATATAAACTAGTGGTGAATTGTTATTGTTTTTTGACGGTGAACTAACAACTTTACTATACGACTCACTACTCACTTACTCATGTTCTTTAAAGAACTTACTCTACTCATATTTCTTTATGCATTGGTCAGTTCAATTAATTTCACTTATTTGAATGGTTTATATTTATTAAATCGTTAAAATGACAAATTAAATTAATAATTTTGATTTAATTTTAAAAATTAAAATATCATGAAATTAGTTGTTAGGTTCAAACAGTAAACGTCATTTATCAATGTATGTAAAAATTATAAATTCTAATATATTCAATAATTTTTAAATGTTTCATAAAATTTATTTTTAGATTGAATCTGGAAGTTTTGAACTAATAAATGGCTCAACGACATGGCAATCATTGGCGTACTATGCATGTAGTACAGGGTACACTAATAGTATCATTGGTAAGTACAGGGTACATTAATAGTTTCCTTGGAAAGTACAGAGTACACTAATAGTATCATTGGTAAGTAAACAGTACACTAATAGTATCATTGGAAAGTACAGGGTACACTAATAGTATCATTGGTAAGTTCAGGTTACATTAATAGTATTATTGGAAATTACAGAAAACACTAATAGTATTATTGGCAAGTACAGAGTACACTATTAGCAACATTGGTAAGTACAGGGTACACTAATAGTATCATTGGTAAGTACAGAGTACACTAATAGAATCATTGGTACGTACAGAGTACATTAATAGTATCCTTGGAAAGTACAGAAAACACTAATAGTATCATTGGTAAGTACACAGTACACTAATAGTATCATTGGTAAGTACACGGTACACTAATAGTATCAGTGGTAGGTACAGAGTACACTAATAGTATCAGTGGTAGGTACAGAGTACACTAATAGTACCATTGTTAAGTACAGAGTACTCTAATAGTATCATTGTTAAGTACAGAGTACACTAATAGTATCATTGTTAAGTACAGAGTACTCTAATAG